TTGGTTTTTGACAAAAGCTCAAAAACAAGATAGCTTTCCACCACATGATGCTGGCTGCATTACAGGACAATTGACATTACAGGCAAAAACAAAAACAAACACTCAACCTCACACCTTATGCAAAAAAAGTACACCAAAATAAATTATGGACATGAAACCCTAGCACTTCTAGAAAAGCAAAGAGAAATGTCTTTAGGGTCCAGAGCTAGCTAAGCAAAAAGTTTGTAAGCTTGATATCAAAAGTACAACCCATAAAAGAAGGAAAGTGATAAATTCAACCTCATCAAAATCAAAACTTGTTCTGTGAAAGCCATGTGAAAAGGATTAACAGACAAACCACGATTGGGAGAAAATATATGCAAACCACATACCTAACAAAGTACTAGTGTATAGAATGTATAAAGAATTCTCAAAACCCAACAGTTAAAATTTGGGCAACACAGGGTCAGCACTATGGCATACTGGGCTAAGCCTTCACAGGTATCCCATATGGGTGCCAATTCAAGTCCCAGCTGCTTCTCTTCCAATCCAGCTCTCTACTAATGGTCTAGGAAAGCAGTGGAAGATGGCCCAAGTTCTTGGACTCTGCACTCATGTGGGAGACGCAGAAGCAGCTCCTGGCTCCTAGCTTTGGATAGGACCACTCTGGCCATTGTGGCCATTTGGGAAATGAACCAGAGGATGGAAGACCTCTCTCTTTCTATCTCATCTCTCTCTCTCTAACTCAACTCCTCAAATAAGTATAATAAATAATATTTTTAAAAAATTTGGGCAACAGATAAAAACAGACACTTCACCAAAGAAAATACAGATGGCAAATAAAGATATAAAAAAAGTTCAACATTATGATTTACATTGGAACTCAAGGAGATATCACTATACACTTAATAAAATGGCTAAAACAAAAATAAAGCCAACAGTAAATGCTAGCAACAATGTGATAAAATCAGAGCACTTACACATTTCTGGTAGGAATATAAAACGATACAGTAACTCTAGAAAAGTTTGGCCATTTTTTAAAATAAAACTAAGTATGCAGTTACATGACCCAGCTATTGTACTCTTGGGCATTTATTCCATAGAAATAAAAACCTGAGGCCAGCACTGTGGCACTGTGGGTTAAACCACAGCCTGCAGTGCCAGCATCCCGTATGGGTGCCGGTTTGAGTCCCAGCTGCTCCACTTCCAATACAGCTCCCTGCTAATTCTCATGGGAAAGCAGCAGAAGATGGTCCAAGTCCCTGGGCCCCTACACCCATGTGGGAGACCCAGAAGAAGCTCCTGACTTCCAGCTTCAGCCTGACCTAGCCTGGGCCATTGTGGCCATTTAGGGAATGAACCAGCAGATGGAAGATCTCTCTCTACCTCCTTCTCTCACTGTAACTCTGCCTTTCTAATAAATAAATAAATCTTTTTTTTTTTTTTTAAAGAAAAACCTATGTTCATACAAACACCTGTACAGGAGTGTTCATAAGTTAATCATAATACCCATCCGGGAAATGGGTCAGATGTCCTTCAGTGGGTGGATGGTTAAACAAACTGAGGTACATCCATACTGTACACATAATGTCTGTGACTCACCAGCAAGTCTCCAGTATTTTAGACCACACTAAGTCTATGATATCCTTACTAAGTTTATGATAAGACTCAACAATAAAAAAGAATAGATCGTTCATACATAACTCAGATGAATCTCCAGAGACTTATTCTAAATACACAAAAAAACCTAAAAAGTTACATGCCTTATTATTCTATTTATACAAAGTGTTTGAAATGGCAAAATTTTAGACAAATGGAAGACAGATTAGGGCTTAGTGGGGGGTTAGGGATTTGGGGAGGGGCAGGAGGAGGTAGCTATGGATATAAAAGCACTATAGAGGGATCCTGGTGATAGAAAGTGTTCAGTATATTGGCTGGTGGTTGATACGTGAACTTACATAATATCAAATAAATGAGTATGTCAGAACTGGGAAACTGAAGTGCAATCCATGCACTTCATCAATGTCAATATCCTGGTGTGGTCTTGGACTATTGTTCTGCAAAATGTTACCACTGGTGGAGACTGCACACGGGATCTCTCTGTATTATTTCTTACAATTGCATGTGACTCTATCATCACCTCAATAAAATGTTCCAATTCAAAAGCAAACAACAAAAAACACAGAATGTCCTATAGGTACTTCTGGTTAGAGAAGCAGAAAGTAAGCTGGGATTAGCAAATGCTTTTATAATGTGCAAATGACCCTTGCAGATCATCTGGCTTCCTGGATGATGAACATCAAGTTATAAACTACAGAAAGTTCCAGAGAGACTGTATAAATGGGCAGGAGAGTTTCAGTGGTGGCAGCAGAAAAGTGACAATCCTAGAGGAAAATCACCCCTGGTTTTATAAGAACAGGTTACTGTATGGTTGGCATCCTTGTCGAAAGCAATCCTTGAAGTGCTTGTGCAGAATATTACCCCATTTCCAAACTTTTTAGAATGCACTCTAGGTTGCCTGTTCTCAAATTCTACATCCTTACCCTTATCACAGCATATTCTTATCTTCATAGAAACCTGGCTCTCTGCAGGGAACAATGCTTTCCCAGAAACCCTCCATGTAGACCTGGTTTAACCCCAGCCACTTTATACCCTTCTGGTCACCAGGGGAGTAAATGATACTCTCTGCACACCTACCATATAAAAGTACCTTTGAGGTGCCTATGTCGCTCCCCCTCTTCATGGAGGAACGACACTAAGTCCTGCCTAGGCTTCATATCCGAGTCACGGCACCATTATGTCGCTCCCCCTCTTCGTGGAGGAACGACACAGGACCCTGCGCTGTTCTTTCGTCTGCTCGGCCCTCCCCGGGTTTGCTGCTGGTTCTTCCCGGGTTGGCTACCATCCCTTCCACCTCCGTGGAAGGGCAGTTACCCCTGGCCACATTCCCCACTTCCGCAGGGGAGTGGCACACCGCTGGCCGGCTCTCTCGGGGGCTGCACAGGTGTTCCTCCAGATAGATGTTCCCCGTAGATGTTCCTGGTGCATGCCGTCTCTCTCCTCCTTTATAGTCTTCCTCCGCCAATCCCAACTCGGCTGCCCACACGCCGAGTACGCTGCTCTCCTCCAATCAGGAGCAAGTCCTACAGTTAATTGGCTGAACTGGAGGCAGCTGTGCGGAAGCTGTTTACTTCTCTCCCAGCGCCATATTGTGGGAGAGCAGATGCATAGAATAAGTCTTAATTCCAGTAACAGTCTAGTCCGGTTTGCTCCCCACATGCCTACTTACCTGAAACCTACTCTGTAGCCTGGCTCTTGTATTACACGTAGATTTCCAGGCCTCTGACTTGGGGCTCACTTGACAACTGGAGAACAACCTGAAAGACCCATTCTTCCTCTATCAGAAACCACCAGGTCTACTCCTGTATGCCCATGATGGTCTAGTACTTCATCTTCACGTACAGCTATGGGGAATTCACCTTATGAGGGAAAAAAATATAAACAACTGTGATCTATTTGAAGATTTTCCAATTATAAAGGCCACCATAAATCTATGGAAAGCTAACCTGGACTGTCTTTCCTAAAAATTTGCTAACTTTCTCAGAGTTTGCCATCTTCATACAGCCCAGAATTGTCAAGATGCCTTAAGTTGGATAGCGCTTTGGAAATATATACAAGTATTTTCCTCTATGAAAAGAAAGCACGTTTTTGGAAGATCTCTGTGAGAGAGACCCCAGGGGAAAGAAGTGGCCATCAAAGGAGGTACTTTTCTTTGAAGGGAAGAGAGAACTTCCACTTTGCTTACGACCTTGTCTAAATACTGATGGAGATTGTGGATTCAAAAGGCTTCCATAGCCTTGACAGCTCATGTCAAGAGCCTTGCATGTGACTGATGTCATACAAAAGAGTGTTAACTGTTAAATTAACAACAGGAGTCACTATGCACTAACTTCCCATGCAGGATTTCTGTGCTCAATGAATTATGAGAATTAACTGTAAAACTTGTTCTCAAACAGTTGTGTGTATGTGTGTGTGTGTGTGTGTGCAAATAGTTGAAATCTTTACTTAGCACAGAGTTGGTCTTCTGTGTATAAAGCTAATTGAAAACTGAGAATGGGACTGGGAATGGGAGAGGGAGGAGGTGGCGGGGTGGGAGGGCGAGTATGGTGGGAAGAATCACTATCTTCCTCAAGTTTTACTGATGAAATTTGTACTCATTAAATAAAAGGTTTCTGGGGGGGGGGGAGCATGTCCATTATTTAAAAAAAAAAAACCTTTGAAGTGCAAAAGTAAAAACACAGTATGGCAATTCTGTCACCCAAATCCAAGGAGTCTTCCAAAAGTTCATGAAAAAAATGCATAGATTTCAATATTTTTGGCCTAAATTGGTCTTCTAATTCCATTTTTCCACAAACTTGTTGAAATGTCCTTACAAAACCACTTTTTTAAAGAATTTTTTTGAAGTGCTTTTAAAACCCAGGAACTCCTCAGAGCAGGGCGCAGGCGGCTCAACCACCAGGCTGAACACGGGTTCCCCCAAAACTACCTTAATAGTTCCATTTCAGTCTGGATTTTGGGCTAATTTGAACAAACACAACCCTATTCAGACGACTATTTTGCGTCGTGTTTGCTTTGGTTCCCCCCCCCCCCCACACACACACTCACCATTCCCTTCCCCCACATCAACATTTTTTAAAGCTATTCTGCGCGTCTGCGGTAAATTTCACGGTGAGAGAGCTCACTTTTCAGCTCCTCAGTTTCCACAAGGCCTGAACCCGGGCTGTCAGCGCCCGTCACCTTCTCTACTCCCAGCGTCCTCTCGGCCCTCGTCGAGGTGCGATGACGTCATGCGGGCGACAGTCTGGTTTCCCTGGTGACGGTTGCCAGGGCAGCGCGTGCAGGCGTCCGGAAGAGGCGCGGAAGCCGTGGTGGTGCTGAAAGGGAGAAGCAGAAAGAGATCTTGTAAGTGGCTGGGAGGGCAGCAGGCCGGGGCCGGAGCTCGGAGGCCTGCAGCCGCCGGGGGCATGGATGAGCCTGAGCGCACTCTCTCGCCCGAGCGCCCTGCCTCTGGCCGGACGTCCACTGCCTGCCGGCACTGGGCATCGGGGCGCCGAGCGGAGACTGCTGCAAACATTGGCGCACACCCTCCTCCTTCCCCAGTGTGTTCTGTGCCGCTCGAGGGTTAATTTGGCGTGGAGGTTGCGTCGCCTGCGCGGTCGTGGAGTAGAACTGGAGCCCACGTGGCCCTGACCCGCGCTCTCTGGCCGGGCCTCTGCTGGAGAGTTGGGGGGCTCGGCCCTGAGGGGCGGAGCCGCGCGACCCTGCGGCATTCGCGCCCCCTCTCCCGGGCCACCTTCTAAGGTCAGCCCCCTCAGGACGGGGCGACCCCGCCGACCAGACTACTCACTCGACTCCCATCCCTGCATAGATGCTGGCCTGGTAGGCAATTGGTGGGGGTCCTGTCCAGCAGCATATAGGAAGACCCCAAACTAGGCAGCTGGCCCTGCCCCCCAAGACCCCAGGTTGTCACTAGGGAGCACTCAAAGAACATTAAGAGAGAGAGAGAGAAGAACGTGGCCGGCTGGTGGGGCAGCTTCCCTCCCTGCCCTGCACTGGCCTCTGGGCACTCACTTCCCCACAGGACTCCTAAGTGGGTGGCGGGCCCTGCCCCCTTCCCACCGCCGGAACTCCTTCGTGAGCCAAAGTTCTTTGCATGCACTTTAGCCTGGACTTAAAAAAATTAATCAGCCTTATTTTTTTTTAAAGATTTTTATGTATTTATTTGAGAGGTAGAGTTACAGACAATGAGAGGGAGAGACAGAGAGAGAGGTCTTCCATGCGTTGGTTCACTCGGAAAGGGCCGCAACGGCCGGAGCCGTGCCAGTCCGAAGCCAGGAGCCAGGGGCTTCTTCCGGGTCTCCCACGCGCGTGCAGGGGCCCAAGCACTTGGGCCATCTTCTACTGCTTTCCCAGGCCATAGAGAGAGCTGGACTGGAAGAGGAGCAGCCGAGACTAGAACCGGGTGCCCATATGGGATGCCGGTGCTACAGGTGGAGGATTAACCTACTGCGCCACAGCGCCGGCTCCCGGCCTTATTTTTAAAGCAGTTTTTGATTGACAGAAACATTACAGAGCAGAGTTCCCATATACTTTCCGCACCCCCATTTCCTCTCTTATTAACTCTTTGCACTGGCTGTGTTCCAGTCCTTAACCGTCAGGAAGCCTATTATGGATCATGTTCTAAGACGGTGTTGAACTATGAAAAAGACTGCCAAACTGACTTCCGGAGTGGATTTACCATTTTGCATTCAGCCACTGGCAATAAATAAGAATTCTTGTTGCTTTATATCCTTGCCAGCATTTGCAGTTGTTGATGTTTTGGAGTGTAGCCATTCTAAAAGGAAGGGAGTGGTATGCCACTTTTTGTTTTAATTTTCAGTTCCCTAATGAGATGTGCTGTTGGACATCATTTCAAATGTTTATTTGCCATCCGTATATCCTGTTCCTTGGCATGTTTGTTCAGATCTTTTGCCTACTTTTTGATGGGCTATTTAAGAGTTCTTTGTATGTATTTTGGGTGCATTCCTTTATTAGACGTGCTTTGCAGATTTCTTTCCATACTGTGGCTTCTGTCTCCATTGTCGTAACAGTGTTTTCCAGTGAGAGGTATTCTATTTTAATGAAGTCCAATTTATCAGTTACTTCTTTCATGCTTTTGGTACTGTGAAAACTCTCACGCTCCTCCTCTCAAAAACGAATCCACTGCAACACAAGGTCACTTATATTCCCTCCTCTTTGATCTTTTAGGTTTGTAGTTCTGCCTTTTTTTTTTTTTTTTTTTCTGACAGGCAGAGTGGACAATGAGACAGAGAGAGACAGAGAGAAAGGTCTTCCTTTGTCGTTGGTTCACCCTCCAATGGCCGCTGCGGCCGGTGCGCTGCGGTCGGCGTACCGCGCTGATCCGAAGCCAGGAGCCAGGTACTTCTCCTGGTCTCCCATGCAGGTGCAGGGCCCAAGGACTTGGGCCATCCTCCACTGCACTCCCGGGCCACAGCAGAGAACTGGACAGGAAGAGGAGTGACTGGGACAGAATCTGGCGCCCCTACTGGGACTAGAACCTGGTGTGCTGGCGCCGCTAGGCGGAGGATTAGCCTGTTGAGCCATGGCACTGGCCATTTCTGCCTGTTATGTTTAGGTGTTTAATCCGTTTTGAGTTGATTTGTGTGACAGGTATAGATTTGGGGGGGGGTGGTATGTGGATGTGTTGTTATTCCAGAACCATTTGTTGGAAAGGGTCTCCTTTCTCCGTAGGTTTCCTTTACTTCTTTGTCAAGGATCGGTTGATTGTATTTATGTGACTCTATTTCTAGGCCATCCACTTGTTTCATGGATTTATTTGTTCAGTTCCAACACCACACTGAGTAATTTTAAGTCTTGAAGTCAGTTAGTGTCACTCGTCCACTTCCGTTGTTGGCCCTCAATGTTGTGTTGGCTATTCAGGGTCTTTGCCTCTCCCTATAACTCTTGAGTCAGCTTGTTGATACTCACAGAGTGACTCACTGGGACTTTGATTGGGATGGCATTGAATCTGTAGATCAAATTGGAAAAAACTGCCATCCTAATACCACTGAGTCTACCTGTGCATGCGCATGAGGTATCTGTTTTAGTTCTTTGCTCACTTTCGTCAGAGTTTTATAGGTCTTTTTATATAGTCTTGGTACATGTGTTGTTATATGTATGTTACATTTCCTTTAGTATCAATATAAAAGGTGGATGGCACGAATATTATTAAAAGTTATTATTAAAAATATTGTGCTTTGGCCGGCGCCGCGGCTCTCTAGGCTAATCCTCCGCCTAGCGGCGCCGGCACACCGGGTTCTAGTCCTGGTCGGGGCGCCGGATTCTGTCCCGGTTGCCCCTCTTCCAGGCCAGCTCTCTGCTGTGGCCAGGGAGTGCAGTGGAGGATGGCCCAAGTGCTTGGGCCCTGCACCCCATGGGAGACCAGGATAAGTACCTGGCTCCGGGCTTCAGATCAGCGCGGTGCACCGGCCGCAGCGTGCCGGCCGCGGCGCGCCGGCCGCGGCGGCCAATGGAGGGTGAACCAACGGCAAAGGAAGACCTTTCTGTCTGTCTCTCTGTTTCTCTCACTGTCCAATCTGCCTGTCAAAAAAAAAAAAAAAAAGATATTGTGCTTTGCTACAATTACTTGTGAATTAGGCATTTGTTATAATTACTTGGGAATAGCCTATTCACAGATACAGCTTAGGAAAGGATAGTTGACCAAGGATGGCCAAATTAATTTACTTGTTCCAGAAATATTTATGGAGCACATAATGTGTGCCACATTTTTTATTCATTTATTTGAGAGGTAGAGCTACAGACAGAAGGAGAGAGAGAGATCTTCCTTCTGCTGGTTCACTCCCCAAATGGCCGCAATAGCAAGAGCTGGGCTGATCCAAAGCCAGGAGCCAGGAGCCAGGAGCTTCTTTGGGGTCTCTCATGCGGTGCAGGGGCCTGAGGACTTGGGCCGTCTTCCACTGCTTTCCCAGGTCACAGCAGAGAGCTGGATCGGAAGTGGAGCAGGACATGAACTGGCGGCGCCCATATGAGATGCTGGTACTACAGAGGCAGAGGCTTAGCCTACTATGCCACAGTACCAGCCCTGCCAATTATTTTTATAAGTGCTAAATTATAGTCATTTAGACAAAAATGTGTATCTTTAAGTTGCTAACATACGAATGGGAAAAGATAGATAATGTGAAAATAGGTGAAATATGCTGTACGGAAAGTGTGATGAAGAGAAGTGAACCCAGGTGTGGAGACAGGCAGAGGGCGGAAGCAGGGCAAGGAGAGGGCACTGAGTGGGTGGCCAGGGAAGGCCTCCCTCTGAGTGCTCCTAGAAGTGGGGATCTGTGCAAGCTCGGGGAGAAGCCCTCCCTGGGTGGGAGGAGACCATGCACAAGGCTGGAGCCGATGACGGTGAGGGTTGGGCCGAGAGGGGAGCTGGATTACCCTGGGCCCTGGTTTTGTGCTTTTGTAGGTGCGATCTGACCAGTGTGTTGGCAGGGTGGCCCCACATTCTCTCACTCAGTCCTCACAGCCTCTCTGTGCAGCTCATCACTCTCATCATCCCACTTTACAGATGAGGACATTGAAGCAGAGATTAATTTGCCCAGAGCACAGATTATATCCAAGAAGTACCACATCCCCAAGGACTCCAAGTGCACAAGCTGGGAGTGGAAAAAGGGAAAAGGATTTATGTTACTGTGGTTATTTGACCCATTCACTCATTCATTTGTTCATTCTTTCTCATCCTCGGGCACCTGTTAAATTGATGCAATGGTTCATGGAAGGCCTGTTCTGGGCAGGATACTGAAAAGTAGCAAATGGATAAGACATGAGACTTCTGCCCATAGAGGTATAAGAGAAAGGATGTGTGTACAGTCCTAGGTGATAATAATACATCCAGGTAAGCTTAGCGATGCAGGGATGCCCAAGGGACTCTGGGAGTCACAGGGTGCCCCCAAGAGGAATCCCAAAGCCTGCGTGGAGGAGAGGGAGCAGGTCTAGGGTTTAGGTGGGAATGACTGGGGGGAGGGCATCCCAGGCAGGGGGCATGGCCCATGCAAGCCTCAGAGATGCCTCCAGGCTTGATCCTGAGCAGGAGCCACAAACCCAGATAGCTGCAGGGGCTGATAGGAAATGAATGTGAGTGAATCCTGCCGGTGTAAGAACCACATTTACGTGCAGTAATGACAGACAGGTGATGTGCCCACTGTGGCACCTCAGAGCGGCAGAGACCATGGCTGAGTGGCGTGAACATACCCTGCCTCGAGCGAGCTCCCTCTGCCCAGCAGCTGCCGTCCATGTGGGCCCACACTGGACCCAGCAGTGCCAGCTCTGCAGACTCTTCTAAAAGAAGCCGGAAATCTGGATTCCATTGAAATCCACAGATCTTTGAACATTGGCAACAGATTCTAACAAAGCAGCCTGTGAGAGTCAAACAGAAACGGGTGTGGGATGGGTCCAGCCTTGCAGCCAGCCGGAGCACCCGCCGTGAGTCCTGGTGCCCTCTGGCAGAGGCGGGAACCACTTTGATCTGGTTTCAGAAAGGTTCCAGTCACGTACAGCGTGGGTTAACAGGGAGCTAGGGCAGAAGCAGGTAGCCAGAGAGAGGGGGAGCCACTGGGAGGTGGCGGGTACAGAGGCTGGAGGCAGCTGTGCTGGGGGCTTGGTGGCTGTGAGCACAGCTGCTGGGAAGGCTTGCTGCTGGTGGATCACAGGCACCACCATGGGAGACAGGGAGGTCTGGGCGTGGAGCAAAGAAGAGCAAGGATTCCCCAGGAGAGACAGCAGGAGGGAAGAAGATGACATAGCGCGTCTGTCAGTCCAGGCTGGGCAGAGCCTTTTCACACTGCCCTTCACCATTGCCCTCAGCA